ACCCAGTTTCAACCACACGGCCATTTTGCAACACAGTTCGTGACCCTCGGCGTCACCCGACTGACTATATGAGCATTCTGTTCAACTGTTAAGCTAGGATTTATTACCGTTATTATCATTATATTGTCACGTGATTTGTTTTACCTTATGTGTAATGTCTTAAGTATCTTTATTGTAATTTGTATATACCAATTCGTATATACCGAGGAAACGACCCCGATTGAAGGTCATGTATTTTATGACGTCACCAATTCGTGTGTAGGTACTGCTTCTAGATCTGTGCCCTATTCTGCATTAGATTCATGCCCAATCCTTCTTTACTGTGTCATGACGTCGAGGGGACGAAGTGTTCAGTGGTCTAATCGTCCAGGGGTCCAAACGACCTGATTCCATTTACTAAAGATTTTTGTTCGTGTGTAAATATTTTGAGTGTGGCAAAAAAATTGTACCAAAACGTCCCACGGACTCGGTCGGGCTACCGACATTGACGTTGTAAACACGTTACGTATGAACAACGACCGAGGGAAATGCAAGGAATCGTCGAAGAAGCTTACCTGTATCTCTGTCTCTTGTTGTGAATTTCTCTCGAAGGTGAAAGTGTCTTATGTTTCCGTTTCTTTTTATCTGTTGAACCCATATTTAATTTAGTTGGTAAAACAACACATGTACACAGTAAAATGAACCTTCAACAAAACATACCTATGGAGAACGCCATGTTGAGTATATATTTTTTCTGCACATGCGCATTAATTCTAATGCAAACCTTTAACCCCGTCTCGTCCCATGAGTGTTATTTTAATTTTAAAATAGTTGTGATTAAATTGTGTATATATCTTTATGTTTGTCTTTATTAACTCAAGTATCGAAGATTATGACTGACTAACAACAAATATTTTAATTAGTCTGACTTGTTGTATATCTACATGTATTTCTTGTTGAATGTGGCGTGGATTTTCTCGCTGTGAACGAGGCTAACTTTGTCATCTCGAGACGAGACTGGCACTGCTTGTCGATCTTGAGTTGATGAGAAGTATACTTGAATATACTTTTACTAAGGTATCCACGGTGTTAACTTTTTTTCTAAATCATAGTCACTTGCACTGTTAAACCTTGATTTATTGCATTTGTTGCTTGGTGTATTCCGTGTCATATTGACGCGAAGCCGACCTGTTTCGTCATTGTTGACAATCCTGGGACGGATGACAACCTGACAGTTGGGTAAAATGGCTACGCAAACTGAAACATTGGAAGAACAGGTGACCACAGGGACTGAAGAAAATGCCACCGGGGACCATTTGGACAGAAATAGTTCTGTTTCGTCGGACGATGGGTCTGAGAGTCCAGGAAAACATATTGGTGACGAGAAACAACAAGTAGACGCCGAAGATGTGTGTGCCAGACTCGAAAACATGGACTTGACCGAGGAGGAAACAGAAGAACTGTTACAAGAAGCGTTAGAAATTAACAAAAAACTAAAAGCGGAGTTAAAACGCCAAGGAGACGGTGTTAAAAGTGGAAGGAGTCGAAATAAGTCGGCGTCAACAGGTTCAAACCCAAGACCAGGAAGTGGAAAATATGTAATTTTGCCGCCAATCAAACCGGGACAATCAGGCCTTTCCCCAGAACAAGAACGGTTGTATGGAGCCAGACTGCGACCACATAATAGTAATCGTAATCCACAACGTTCAGGAATTGGTAGCAGTAGATCAAGAGAGAGGGCCACAGTCAGTGCCAATCCTGGGGTATGTGTGTCATCTTGTTTTAGTTAATCATGATGATGAATGTAGCCGCAGCATAGCTGCAGTTCTGTTGCTCTTAGTTTCGTCATTAACAAAAAATTATATTTTCTTTAAATCGCAGTCTCTAGTGATGAAGTGCTTTTATGTTGCGAAGGCCATTCAAAGCGGTATTGTTGTTTTTATCTGTAGTAATTAGTTATTAAGATTATGTTTTTTAGAAATTTTACTATATTCTAAATACCAAACGGACAGACTACACAAATCAAACATGATCATACATGTACAACATTTTAACATCAAAAAAGCACACTGTCACTATAGGTTGCAATTTACAGGAATAGTGTATAATACATGAGTGTGTTTTCACCTCTGTGACTACTGTGGGGTTATTTCATCTTTCACAAGGGTGATTGCAAGTCATTTGTTTCACATTAAAGATTGTGACAGCCCACACCAGATGTAATAACCCTACAGGCAAATAATAACAAAATGACTACAGCAGTAAAGAATATACCGTAATCGCTTAATTTTGTGATTTCAGAATTTTTGTGAATTTACAGAGTCTGAAAATTGTGAAATTCTGAAGTGAACCTACAGTTTTTTTTAACTATGTGAATGATGTTGGAGTGGGTAGTATTTACATTTGGCCACCCCTGATATACAAAATATTTTAGTCACTCTATTAGTAGCATGTGCGTTTATGACAGAATTGTGTCTATAGTCAAACTAATAATCCAGGGTACAATAAAGGCAACTGTTGGTTTACATGTACATGTATTTCTAATAGAGAAAATATCGTAGTACAAATAGTATTGTCACTCAAGTTTGAGACAAAATGTTTAAATTTATAACTCATTTTCAGGAAGTATTGAAACTGTTGTGATGAGTCAAAGGTCAAACAGACACTTGTGGAATTCTATATGAGCAGTATTCATCTACTACAGTGTTGTGATTGACCATGTTGTTTTTTAACACTCTTTCTGACCTGTCACATCACAGCAGCAACTTATTGCAGTGGTTTGAATTTCGTGAGGGTTATTTCGCATTGGCGATGGAATTTATTGTTCAATAGCAAATTGTAAAATCCACTGCATTTTAATTACATATTTTAAATGTATATTTCTGGATATAAGGATTCTCACACTATTTTTCTTTTTCAATAAATTTGAATTTTCAGTATCAGGTGCCTTTGATCATAAAGTTGCACAGAAAATATTGCCTCTTTATTTGAATTATAAATTTGCAATTATTGTTACTAAGAATTTACTGACTCTGAAATAATTGATTATAAATGAAATGCATGTAAGTGTGTGTGTTAGATAGTAAATATTGTATTTCATGGCTATCGGTGGTTGTATTTGATACTAACCAATAGTTGACTGATAAAACATCAATAGTTCAACATTTTGGGTACTGTAAAATACTTTATTTTCACTTATTTTTGACAAGTTGAATGTAAAATGTAGGAACAATGGTATATTCACTGGATTTTTCGCAGAATCATAGTAAATACCTTCAGCGAAAATTAATTCCAAGCAAAAATAAGGTATTCTACAGTACTATCAGACTGACACATACATGTACATGATATGTTACTAGTAATCAATTCATGTTTTTTTTACAGGGTAACAGGAGATCCTCTGCCAAGACCAGTCGCAGTAGCCAGTCAGCTGATGTGAAGCAAGAATCCAGGCATAGCAAATCTAAACAACCTCCTGAGTGGAATGATAGATTTTCATACACTTGAATACAAACATATCTGATGCTGTATTCTATGTGCTGCTGCAATCTGCAGGTGTAGTTATAATACTGTAAAATCTGTATTAGAAGCCAAGGTTTATGTTAAAATGGTACAATACAACAGAGGGGATGCGGCTTCTATTAAAGCATCTACACATATGAAATAGAGATTTTTGGGTTCTCAATTGTTGAAAGAGAATGGGTGCGACTTCTATTAGGGATGTGGTTTCTAATAAAGATTTAACGGTATTGTTCCAACTTCTGCAGTGAAAAACAACTTTCACTGAATGGTTTTATTTCTGTATTGTACCGGTACATCCTGTGGTATTTTGAATAAATCATACTTACACTGGATCTGATCTTTTATGAAATCTTACTGTTTGTTATGTTTTTGAACAGAAAAACAAAAATATTCTTTTATATTATTTAATATGACACGGAAGTATGGTCAAACCTATTTTAGTGACCATCTCTATATAAAGACCACTTGCTTATAGTGACCAGTTTTAGTCCGTCCCATGGCATTACGTATGAGCAGCCTGTGTATAAGGACCACCTATTTAGCAATATTTTTACAGGTTTACTATTGTTTAGAGACCAAAATAATAATTGGCATTTGGTTAACGTTTATAAAACAAATTTTAATTTTCTGAAGTCAAACTTGTTTGGTGTTTTTGTTGCAACAGTACCATCTCATTATTTTATGGACAAATTTGTTAAATGTATCAGTCCGTGATCCATAACAAAATAATTCACATGTCTATAAAGATAATTTTAATGAATGGGTGTTTGCTGTACACAGGTTATACTGTCTTGGTGCTTGAAGGAGCATTGAATTTTCCTTTTATGTATTCCAATTCCAGAATGTTAATTGATACATGTACAAGTCTAGGGTTTAGCTGTGTTCCTGTCTTGTATGTGGTTGTAAATAAATCACATTTATATGCACTATAGTTTAGTTTGACTACATGGTATATGCCATACAAATATGTAAACCTCTGAGATAGGTAAATTTTACTGTCCAAGACAATCACATGAACAAGTAACAATGATGACCTAAGCTTTGTTGATGCCGATATTTTAGCAACCATCATACAAGCGTCACTGCACTACAAAATACCTCAGACACCTGTTGTAAACTAGGTGTGGAATTGACATCAAAGGCATGTAATACAGTGTATCTTTGAAGCTCTAGATACAGGTTGAATGAATGTGACAGGCACAACATTTTTCAATGTCATGAAGATATATTTAATTTGTTATACTGTAATGTGTACAAAATTAAATGTTCTCCATTCATAGAGTTCAGACACATGTAATGATAGCGACTAACTGTACTATACGTCAGAGCAACTTGTTAAAGCAACTGTGACTATCAATCTTTTTTTCTCAGATTTTATAAACCATTTCTTGTGTCACTTTAAGCATATGGATCATATTTGTAGATATTTACTACACTGAAGTTAGCTAAGACATGTATGTTATTAAATATTTATAAACTCAAATGACAATTTATGAGTGAATGTGGTTCCTTACATAGGCTGTTTTAATGTATTCTAATAAATTAGCACCTCGCAGAATGGAGGGGTTGCCCAACTAGCCAATGCAATAGTTTCAGATTTGCATGATTTCAAATAAAAACCTTTGGGTTTATAAAATTTTCTAAGTACTGTATAACTAATTTTCACTGGTTTTAAGTTTTGCTGATTTACTTTTTTAGGCATATTCAGTGGGTTTTAAATTAACGGTTTTATCATTTCGATAATGTATTCTATGCTGAATTTTTTATATTCACTAGGTTTCAATTTAGCGCATTTTCCAGTCAGCGAAATAAGCAAAATTAAAACCTAGTGAATAATTAACCCTTTTACAGTATATAAGAATGAACATTGCTTCGCTGACTTCAGTGTGTTGCTCTAAATATTGAGTTGACAAGTTGAAAAAGATTGAGCTAGGGCTTTGCTTATAAATGTATTTGTATAAATTTGTAAAAGCCAATCATCAGCTTTCATTCAAATTCAATAGCTAAACTACACCCATAATGCAATGCATGCCTTGACATGGCATAGCAATTGTGATTCATATTCAAAATAAGGCGCTTGCTGATAATGTTGAACTATCTCATTAATATTAACTAGAAACTCGCGTTGATTTCACAATACCTTAGCCAGATTGGTCAATTTGAATTCTGACCTCCATTTTGATTTATAAAGATGTATATTTATAAAATGTTTACGACCACAGCTTTATGCCCTTTACTGTACGATTGATACAGTAAATGTAAATCTTATTTGGAGCATTTCATTATTAATCTCAATGGTAGATTTTTTTCAAATTCGTGCAATGTCCAGGTTTACCTAAATGTGATGAAATTAAGTAAGTTATTGGGCTATTTTATAAGTGTGTGCTAGTGAAAGATTTTCTCAAAATTATTTGGTTATTACATACCAATATTATGGTACTTATACATGTTTGGTATTTTTATTTTTTGTTACATTATTACTAAGCTTATTATTACCAATGATCTTAATCTATCGGTAGTTCTAAATCTCGAATAGATTTGCTGTTTTTTTTTAATCTTGTATGATGTGTGTTATTTATTATTTACAATCATTGAAAAAATTGAAACTTACGAGTATTTAACTTGTGGCTTTTTTCCGTCCATTTTTTCCAGTTTCTCTTAAAGTTTGTAAATTTTGCTATATAATAAATGGTTATTGCTGTCACCTTAATTGCCTACTGGCTTTTGTCATTGGCCTGCAAGCTTAAAATCACTCCCTTAACACACAGATGTGAGTGATCAGGGGAGCTGTGCTATTACAATTTCTTAAAAATTTTTATGAATTTGGAGTGTAATAATTAGTTCTTCTGGAGTTTGATTCAGGTGAATGCAGTGATCACTACATATCTAAAAGATGCAGGAAAACATTCTGTAAATTTGAGTTATGTTGAAACTCTTCAAAACTGTCAACAATTTGAACAAGCATGTCGGGAAAACCGAAAATATCGCCAATATTCATACTTTCCAAATAATAGCATTGCATGTTTAGTGTACGTTTCCCTGAATTCACACATTTAATTAATATTCATAGTTTACTTTGTTACCATTTCTGTGAGTTAAATACTAGGTTGATGTAGAAAATTGTCATCGTTTCAGTAGGGTGTTCGTAAGTCTGCATCTGCTGATGTCCAACATGGCGACGAAGATTTGTACCCCCCAAAATGCATCTCTGAACGTTTCACAAGTATATTTTGTACATTGAATTATAATTTGTGAGTCTTTTATGAGAACACTATGATAGTTCAAACAATGTTTATCGAAGTTTGCAGACATTTTACTCCCACATAGCAATGTCGGCCATCTTGTTGTTTTTTTGTCCCTGACTGCTGCCAGTGGCAGTGTAAGTGACCACGGCCATATTTTTGAAACCACGCCCACTTTTGTGAAACCACGCCCAAATTGTTAACCAAACTTTGAGTTACAGGCAACATATATTTTGTAGTTATGTTACCGGTAATGTTATGAATCATTCCTTCAGCGAAAATTAATTCGATCCAAGCGAAAATAAAGTAGTTTACAGTAATAAGCCAATAGTTTCAAATCTTATTTATAGAATAGAATCTAAAAAGCATGAGTCCTATCATTATCCACTAAAGAATGAAGTGCGACGACTGTAATATAAAACGGGGAGTGCATTTGTGCCAAGGAGATTTGCAATTGTGTGAAAAATGCAAAAAGAAACGTTTCCAGCACGATGGTCACTCGGCAATGACAGGCACGGTGGTGAATACCACTGCAACAGATGATGATAACAACAGTGAAGCCAATATACTAACAATTCTACAGGAAATACGTGGAATTAATGAAAAGTTGGAGAAATTGGGTGCCTTGGAGGCAAAACTTGAAA